TGTACAGCTAAATAAAGGTTAATAGAACTTAATAGTACTAATGATAATGGTGGTGAAGAAGGGGGAAATTAAAGAAGTGAAATCTGAAAAATAAAAGGAAGTTGAGAAAGAAGTGAGATTAGGAATCCAATTAATGAGTTAAAAAATTGAATTAGATACAAGTAGCAAAGCAACAAAGAAAAAAGGAAAAAAGAAAGTAAATTTAAAAAGAATAAATTTAGAAAAGAAAACCACAACTCCTCCCCACCCCCCCGCAAAACAAAAAACAAAAAACAAAAAAAAAAAAAAAAAACCAATGAAAAAAAGATACAAGTCAAAAAATTTCCTCTGTGTTTGAATGAGTGGTTTCTTTCTAGGATCTACAATAATGGAATCTACCAGATATTGGGATGGGAGGTGGTCATGAGCCACTACTAAACCCTGATTTGTTTTCACATTCATTTTTGTTTGTGAATCCTGAGTCCTGCCTTGCCTTTCCTTCTGATATAGTCAGTCAGTGATATCTGCCTAGGGCTTTATTCACATCAGCTCCTCCCAGCTCCTCTGCCTAGGGCTTTGTTCACACTAGCTGGTGTGAATAGGGCTCCCTTTGAGTGCCCAAGTCTCTTCTTTTTGCATCTAGCTTTATGACCAATGAAGTGCTCCCCTACTCCAGAGGGCTTTCTATCTGTATGCCCCAGGGTGTGGCAACCATTCACGTTGAGGCTTATCCCTAATTACATTAGCAGATGGGGAAAGCAAACAGACCACTGAACTCTTAAGTTGATATAGGTAGTGATGTAGGGTGGTCAAGCAGTACATTGGACTTAATGCCAGCACTTTGAGATCTAGCTTTCTCCAAAGGCCACACAGAACCATCATGGCTTCTTACCGCAGAGGGCTAGTCCCCTGGGTCATTCCAGGTGTGAGCTTAAACTCCTCAGAGGGTCTATGTTTTTAGCCTATGTCTTCTCTCTGACTGTCTCTTATGGCCATCTTCCTCCCAGTGACTAATAGGATAACCTCAGAAATCCTGAAACGTAGTTTGGTGGCCTTTGATTCTTCAGATAGCTCAGTTTTAATAGCACCTTCCCAGAGTGATTTCTTATTTATCACTCAAATATGGTGGAAGCTGCAGTGTGAATCTTTTCCAACTCTAGCCTGCTATGTGAAAGGAGCTGTGTTCAGCATAAAACCCCACAGTGTTTTTACGGTTTACAGTAGCCTTGGGCTTTTCTTTATGCTGTCACCGTTGGTTCAGTCCCTTGGTTTACCTTTGTTTGTGGAGACAGGCTTCTCTCCCCCTAGGAGCCGAGGTTTACATTCTAGACTGTTTCCTTTTTCAACATCATGTTCAGTTTCACTGTAGTTTTAGTTTTCAGCTTTACCTTAATTTCTGGATATCTGCTTCTTTTTTTCCATACTAAGTTATTTTCCAGGTATTTCAATTCCAAGTCCCAGTCAGGCTGTATTTTGCTGCCAGTCTTTACACCACCATTTTTATTTTATTCTCTATTATTAATTACTAATTCCTCTATAGAAGGATCTTGCTTGGTACTTTTCCCCTTTTCAAACAGCTATCAAGGTTTCAGAAATTGCTGATTCAGGACAGGCCCCTTCCAAGACCATATCAACCTGGAAAAGCCAACCTCTGGGAGATTTGAAATTCCGATTCACACAAATTTCAGTTAAGTAAATACCACATCATCCCTGCCTGCCTTCCAACTGAAGGCTGCATACACATTGTATATTCTCCTCTTAATCAGAACCTTTATTATAATTATGCTTCTGCTCATTTGTGCTTCCAGAGGATATGGGCTCATCTTGTGATGCCTATTCATTCCCTGTGCCCTCCTGTGACTGTGTTTTATCTTTTGCTTCTGATGGACTTGGGGAAAATGCTCATAACTATTATGATTTTTGTTCTTCTGATCTTTTATTTGGGCCATGTCTCACCAGTGGTCTCCTAAACCTTATTTCTTCCCTCTTCCATCCACTTCTGTATGATCCTGTGTCCTCCTGATCCAGCTTTAGGAAACTTGACTGATGCTCTAGGCCTATAGTCAGCAAGCGTGGGGACCCTGACTCCCTGTCCTCAACACTCAGCAAGTAGCCAGAATGACAGAGTGTCCAAAATAATTTTAGGATCCCATCTTGTAAGAAGAGAAGTGTTGGGCAGAAAGTCATTAGTAGACCTAGAGACAGGTAGCTGGGGACTATTATAAAACCAAAGATGAGATTTTTTTTTTTTTCCCCTTCACCATCTTAGTCATTAGCTATAGATAAAATCCACACAAGCATATTGTTTCAAAATTCAACCCAAGAGAATCTAACATCCTCTGAGCATGCTGATAAGGGCTAGGAATTATACATGGTCAGGCTAGGCATTGGAAAAACTTCAGTGTCTCAAACCAAATGGAAACATTTACTGAACAACTAAGCAGGACCTACTTCTGAAAGAAAGATACTTTTTGAAAGATCTAGTTAGTCATATAACATTCAATACAGCTGCAGTCTTGATGCCTACACCTTCATGCTTGAAGCTAAATTCTCTCTCCAGCTCTCTGGAAATCTGTTTGCAATAAACTCTGCCTATACACTGTATGATGACCGACATGTGTCTGAATCTTTTGTCAGATACACAAAAGAGTCCAGGTGTGTTGCCAGTTCCTTACATTGACTGACTGGACCTCACTTCAGTCATTGGGAAGCCTCAGGATGTGGCTTCCCAATATTATCACAGGAAAATACACATACTTTAAAATTTTGGGGTAACTTTGGGAGGATAGGATGCCCAGGTTGTGGGTTACAGTGGAAAGAGATCTGGGTACAACAGATCTCAATGTCCATGAGCCTAGGACATTACCAAAGCATTCATCTTCAAGGAGAAAACAAATCAAACCTGAAAGAAATGACAACACAAAGATTTAAAGATCAGGTAAATAATTAGGTTTTATTTTTCTAGGATTGCGACTTAGCACTTTAAGGTACCATGGGGTTCTGTCCCTTTTCCCTTCTCTCTCAGAACTATTCATCTGACCATTGAATTGCATGGTGGTCTCATGTCTACACTTGTAGAAGATGGGCCTTTTGTGCATCTATAGTTGCTTAAGTGAAATATTCAAACCAAAAATTAGGACTTAGCCAGGCATGGTGGCTCAAACCTGTAGTCCCAGCACTTGGGAGGCTGCTGAGGCAGCAGGATTGCTATGAGTTCAGGGCCAGCCTAGACTACATAGCAAGACCTTGACTCAAAAAAAAAAAGTTGGACTCAGAATCTGATACCCATGAATGTTTTCAGGGTTAGCAAAACAAATATTTGACAACAAACATAATATTTGACAGTCCTTAGACACTTGTTGTAAATGTCATTATCAGAAGTTAAACATTGACTGGATAGATTTATGCATGAAAAGATTGTAAATAAAACTTGGTATATGAGGGCCAGCCAAATAGCTCAGCGGATTAAAGTGCCTGCAAACAGGCACAGGGACTGGAGTTCGATCCCCTGCTGTGCCGGCCCCGCCCCCAGGGCACACTGAGACAGTGATTGGAGACTGGGCATGATGGCATGTGCCTGTAATTCCAGCTCTTGGGAGGCTGTAAAGAGGCGGATCACTATGAGTCCGATCTAGTAGTGAGACCCTGAACACCCTGTAGGCCCTTCCCTAAAATACAAAACAAAACAAAACAAAACAAAAAAACTTGTACATGAAAAAACATAGTTAGGTTCCAAAAACAACAAGGTCAAAAACTGTGAAGGCCAAATGCAACATAGAAGAAGGTAGTGAGTTTCTACAGTTGTAAGGATTTGGAATTTCATGAATTCCTGCTTCAGGGATATGGCCCAGCAGTCTTCTCCCTTTTGAGATTATCAAGTAGCTTAGAGTTGGGGATAAACTTTCATAGTTGGGCATAGCTCTTGTCTAAATCAGAAACAAGATGAATTACCTTTAATCTTAGTCCTACCTAAGAAGTGAAAAGTTTGAAGACAACACAGACAGGAAAGTCTTTTTGGATCATTTTGATATTTTTAAAGTATTAGAAATCTATTAAGACTTCATATACTATGTTCACGTATCAACTACCTCTGTAATCTATGACAACATGTAGATGTTATCAGAGGGAAGACTGAAGCAAATAAACTTAAATATCTACTCAAAGACAGAAGGTAAAATTTAATCTTGCTGCTTAATTCATGGTCCATTTTTTTAAAGCATTTACTGCTATATAGGGCCCAGTTAGGAACAAAGAATTATATTATCTCTTTATCCTGAAAGAGTTTATAATTTAAAATGTTCTGTATCCATTTTACTATCAAGCAGTTGTTTCTTTAATGAACTTACGTCAGCTAAGGTAATATATTTTTATTTTTCTACGGATTAATGGTTCTATGACTCTATAAAAAAAAAAACATATTATGTGATTTTAAAAAATAAAATTTTTTATTATGTGATTTGTTGACATTGTGCCTAACAATATAAAGTAGAAATGAAGAGGTTATTTTAACTTGGTAGAAACATGCTTTTTAAGCCTTGTATAATTTCTGGACTTAATAGGACTATATAATGAACTTTAAGATTTAAAAGAAATTATCAATAAAATTGTACTTTTACTTTATTATTTTAGGCAGTAACAGGAGTGAAGGAAATGCCACCAGTCAGAAATATTCTAGTATCATCCAGCCATCCAGTTTCTTCAAATCCACACCATGGGGTGGCAGTAGAGATCGAGAGAAGCCATCTTTCAATTCTTTTGATTCTAAAGTTTCAACTACCAGGAACACAAGTTTTGGATTATCTCAGAACCCGTTTGCTTCACCTAGCTCTGAAGAGCAGAAAGATGAAAAGAAGCTTCTGTAAGGAAAATCATTACCTATTTGCTTGATTTTTTTTTTTTTTTTTCCCAAAAGCACCTTTTAGTATTTCTCTAAAAATAAGTAGTAAAAACTCAGAGTAAATAAAGACGGAAAGAGTCCTAGCCCAGGTCTGGTGAGTGTGTGGAGAGCTTCCTGCTAACCTGCGCCGGCGGGACCAGTCCCAGCCCAGGCACAGCATGGTCC